AATAGTGTTAAAATAGAGTAGATAAAACATTTTTTTTCATAATATAACTTTATTATCGTTTAACTTTAATTCTACACTTTATCATTATAATATTTTTTTATTAAGGATAATATAACTATAAAAACATATAAATTATTTACTAACTCTTTATTTGTGGAAAAAGTAAGAAAAAAAATGATAAATTGTTATTTTTTCATATCTTAAGGAAACATTTTCTTTCTCACTATAGCATATTATATACCTTAATTTTAATTATCTGTTCTAGAAATAAAAACCTAAATTACCCTCAAACTTTTAATCATAAAAAGTGAAAAAGATAACCATTTATTCTCTTAGAATATGCAATTCTTATTTCTATCGGATGCTGTTTAAATTGAAAAATAGTTAAAAGATAATTTTTATTGTATAACCTTTTTTTTTTTTGAAAATTATTGTATAACCTTTTTGATAATACAACTTTATATGTTATTTTTTTTAATCTTAACTTTATATACACATGATTGATAGACACTTTTCACTTTATTTAAATTTATAATATTACACTCTTTTTGTTTAAATTTAATAATCTTGACGCACTTGGACCTCTAAGTCCACTGGCATTAGCCAGGTTGATGGTGCATTGTCCCCTCTCCTGGGCGGGTTCAAAACTCGTCCCTTGCCAAAATGATTAAAAAAAAAAATTTAATAATCTTGACTTAACTTTTTAAATATGAATTTAAAATAAAAATTTAATAATTTATATAAATAACAATTAGATTTTTTTTTCATGTATAATTCTTGTTGAGTATTATTATTTGATAAAAAAAATTTTAATTGTCATTTATATAATACGTTAAACTTTTATTTAAAATTTATATTTAAAAAGTTAAAATATTAAACTAAAATTATTAAATATAAATGGAAAAAATATATATTTACCTATTTAATCAGATGTAAAAGTTATAAATAAGTATCGTACGTTATTCGTGTATCATTTGCCTGTTTGAGTTGGGTTTATGAGTACTAAGTATTGATAATTATATATGCTGATTTATTTGGGGGATTTCTTTTTTTTATTTACAGGCTTTATTACACAAAAGTATTTCTGGGTTCTCCTCCACAGGAATTCCACGTACAGATTGACACTGGAAGTCATATTCCTTGGGTCAGTTGCAAATCCTGCAGTGACTGCCCGCGGAAAAGTGAATTTCCAGTAATTTCACTTCTCTTTATGTGTATATTTCCTTATAGATAAAGTATGAAAACGCGCGGAAGGGGTGCTTTCTTTAATGCTAAATTGTTGAATCAATTAAGCTGACATGTTTTCTTTCAGTTTCAGCTAAATTTCTTTGATCCAGGGAGCTCATCAACAGCTTCATTAGTATC